GTTTACCTGACTGCAGTTCACTCATAATTTTTTTCTCTTCTCGTGCCTAGAAGGATAGTACTTCTTCATTTTCTCAACAAAGTTGTAGGCTACACATTAACACTCGCTTTCACCTTTGTCATGAGAGTGAGGCAGGGCCCTCCAGTTCTGCGTGAGAGTGACTTGATTATTATCACTGCGTATGCCGATGTTGCATCAGCTGGGCAAAGCTGATTTGCGCGAAGTCGACTTTATTTTACATTTGTTTTTCAATGCTGCATGCTAATAACAACGTAACAACCTCCAGTGCAGAATGTAAAGGAGAAAAAGTTGATATTTGGCTTAGAAAGTACAGTAACTAAGTATTTGTACTTCATTACTCCCCCGTGGACTAAGCATGCTGCAGTCAGGGATAAAAAAAATCCAATTGATGTCCAAGTAGGAAGTGTCCCAAAATAGCCCATTCAATTTGTATATAGACTGTCTTTATGTAATGTTTGGATTCAGTGGGTTCAGTGAACCATGTCAAAGAGTGCAGACAGAGCGGCTTGCTCATGTATCATCATCTGCCTCAGACCAAACACCAGATTAGAATCAAGTCAGCATCACAAATGTCTCAGGTCACCTCAGAAAATAAACAGTGAGCGCTCATTAGAGCTAAATGACATGAACAATTTCAAACTAGACTTTAGCTTTTGTCATATCAATTGTGTAATAATGTTCTCTTGAATTGCAACTTAGTTTACTTCAGTGGCAGATGCATTATGGCATCAAGACAATGTTTGTTTTCTATTGGTCTGAATTATTTTGTGTCAGTGTTGCTTCGTGTTTGGATAGTGTTTCTGCAGTGTTACCAGATCCAGTATCCAGATAATCTTGTAACAGTATTTTCATGTGCCATGTAGTAGTTTATGTTGCAACATTGCCATGTGCCGAGATAATGATTCTTCCATGTTCCCATGGGTGTATACAGTAATTGTTGCTTTACTGTAACTAGATGTCAAGACATTTTTAGCTTTATTGTTGCTGAATGAATGTGGTCTCAACATTGCCATGACTATAGATAATGTCTGCGATGACTTAGGCCTAGTCACAGCATACCATACACCACAGCATCTTTGTGATTTCCCAGCCGTAGCCTCAAAGAGACCAAATGTAATGGTGTGCTCGGACATTCCCTGTCATCTTTTCAGAATGCATTCAGGGAAGTCGTTTGGAAAGTGGTAAATATCAGTAATAAATTAAACCTAGGAGTTGTGTAAATAATTCGATTCGATTATTCGATAACTTAGATTTGGTGGAAAATGCTCTGCTCTTAGAGGGGGCTCTCAAAGAAACCAAACAGCACCAAGAATTCTACTGAGAAAACAAATCTCCCCTTAATGAGCACACATGAACATTAAGTCTTAGTTAAATCAACAATACCAGAAATATATTGTAGCACATATGAAGAAGGCTGGGATGCTGGGTGTTGGCATGAGTGACTCAGCAGAGTAATAGTGTCAGGTTATCCTGGCTGTGTTGGATGTTACTATAGCCACACAGCTGTGAATGAGCCTCTTCTTGTGTAGCATATCTATATAACATGGTCTGTACAGTGTGTGATTCCATGTATATCCATTTGTGTAGATTCAGTGGCTGAGGGTGCCCTCGCTCAGTAGGTAAATGCTGCTGGCAGCTGAGAAACGCTGGCAGCTGAGGAGAGATTTGTTGAGGTATGTTGTTTAGTTCAGTACTCAGCGCACAGTGTATGAACATGTGCTGTGAGTTATTGAAATGCTGAACAAATGGCAGTACAGAAATAGACACAAGCCTCATGTCCATCATTCCTCCACACAACACAGCACAGAGTCAAGGGGTTTCTCAGCTAGCTAAATTCACTGGTGTGTCTTGTTAAAAATATGAAATACTATTAAATTTGGTGATTTGCACAATATGACTTGTTTAGGACTTGAGAATCACTTCTCAAATCATGCTTTTATCATCTAGCTTACAACTCATTTTAGTTAATTCACCTCCCTCTTATTCTGTCTATTTTATTTAGTCATTCCAACCACTGTGTTTTAAACCTGTATTATCTTGTTATTATTCCTGTCATATTTGTGTTCATTGGACTGCTGTGGTAACCTGTAATTTGTTCATTTACATGTAAAGCAATGCTCCAATATTATTTGATTTTGCCATGTGTTTTCATGTTTTTTTTTTAAGGAAAGCTTTCATTGTCTATTTTTCATATTGCATTGCAATAGCCTGCTTAAAGATGATCATATACCACAGCTAATCAGTGCAGATACTGCATACTAATAAAGGAGTGATGATAACACATGCCTCTTAGATAAAACTATGTATTGTTCTACATTAACATTAATTTGAAGTCATATTTCTGTCTGAAACCTGAAAAATTTAAGTCCTTTATTCACTCTTCTTTGGTCTCCATAAAATGAAGCTGCTAGATCTTCAACTTTCTTCACCAGGTGGTTGTTTGTCTACTGTAGAAGGTAAAATCCAATCAACTGTCTTGATGAAAACAACAGCCTGTTGTGTCCAGAAATGAGGCCAGAAAACCAGAAAATTAGTTGACTAATTCACTCTCTAGAGCTGATCTGAACTGCAGGGTGATCCTTTTTTGTGGGTTTGTGACACCTTTCACATTATACATTGCCTTTGTCAATATAAAATGATTGATTATAGGAGTTTGCAATAACATAGATAAAGTTCTTTCCCGGTCTCATGGGCTTGGCATGTGAAAAAAATTATTTTCTGTAGTTTATCTTGACATCCATACCCCGTTTTGTTTCTACCATTACAGTTGCATTAGCACATGGTCATCCCCTGACTGTGTTAAATGCACAAGTGTTTTGTCTCAGCTTATTGAGAACCCCCTGTCAGATACTTGGCCATTCCATATTTCACTATTCCATGGTCACAACCAAACACAGCTCACTTAAACAACAAATCATTAGTAACTAGGCCAATTTCTGCTTAGAAGTTTGTCGCCAAAAGCACAATAACTATGGAAGGAGAAGAGAAAGAGAGAGAGGGAGATCCTGAAGGATTGCATTCTCTGCATTCTTTGAATGTAGGTTAATTGGACTCATATAACTAGAGCTTGCTGCAGGCGTGGCAGTTTCTCTCTTTTTCTGTATTTCTCTATCTTTCATTCTCTGATTACTCGCTCACTAATTCATGGAGTGCACTGAGAAAAACAAAGAACGTAGCCTCCTGTGTTAATATAAGTGGTGTGATGCTGGGATTGTGGACCCCGGTCTTGCATCTCAGGGGATATATGTTTCGTTAACATTTCCATCATCAGAGGGAAAGGATATTATCAGAGCCGGTTCAGTGGTTCCTCAGGAAAACAAGGAAAATGTAACATATAGTGGGGGAACCTGGAGGAAGGGAGATATTTTGATTTTAAAGGTGTAATTTCATCTCTGAATACAATGTAACTTGGGCAGTAACGCATTAGTAATATTATTACTTTTCCAGTAACTAGAAGTGAAAGGGATTACTATTTCCAAAACAGTACTATTATTACAGTTACTAATCCAAGTAAAGCTGCGTTACTGAGTTACTACAACGCCGTTTTGTTGTCCTTGGCGTGAGTTAGCAGCAGTTTAAGTTGAGCCGCTGAACCTTCTAGTCCTTCTATTCTGCTGTTAGCCAAAAAGCTAAAGGAAGAATGGCGAACAATTGATGTTGAAGAAATATTGTGAGCCAGCTGTCAGGTGCGAGGAAGACGTTTTACACAACAAAGTTTAATGAGACCTGGCCAAGGAGAAAGTGTCAGCATCCAACGCGTGAACACAAGCAATGTCAACACCAAATCTGAAGGATAACATCCTTTGGTCCCTTTTATTTCTTCTATGTCTTCTCCCTAGTGCCTGTAGGTTTTCCCCTTAGGTCATCTTCAGCTGGCCTTAACCTAAAACAACAACTCTATCTGATGTTTAGTCTCCAATGCTACATCATATTGGAATCTCCTAAAGTCCAGGAATTTTACTCTAATCTGTGGAGCCAGTGAGTTCTTGGAAACATTCTTGTAGGACTCAACCCTGTATGATTACCAGAGAACACCGATATCTGCTAGGCTGACGCATGAGCTATTGTCTCTAATCAGTCCTAGACCTAATCAGTCTATTGTTGTCTCCTTGACAAGGACAAGTACATGTGAGAAATACCTAGAGCTAGAAGGTCAGAAAACACTTATGGGATCAGCTAAATCACTCTAAGCTAGACCTGTCTTACCTTTCCTTA